TTTGTTTAACGCCACACTTGCCAATATTCCAGTGATACAAGGGCAGTCTGTAATAATTGAGTCTAGACCTTGCAAGAGGTGACCAGACAGATTGGGCGGCCAAGCTCGGTGACTTCGTTGGATGTCATCGAACCACAACGGCGTGGATCATTTCTCACAATAGCAATCACTGGATTGTCTGGTCCAGACTCGATTACTTACAGGCTGCTGTCATATAACTGTAATATTACTGAGTGTGGCGTTAAACAACAACAAACAAACAAACACCACTATTTCCTAGCTTGAGCAGAACCTTCTAGGGAATGAATTAGGTATATCTGATTGTTTACTACCTGACACAACTTATTGTAAATGTGTATCACATGTCTCTCAGAACAAAATGCATTTTTAATTTTAGAAATTGAAACTTTGAAACGTTGAAATGCGTTTAGAAGTTTTTGTTGCATTTTTCTATCTTGGAAAGACAAGATGAAGACATGAAAAAGTTATAGAACTTCTTTCATTTATAATGACACCTTGATTGTGGCATGTATAAACTCAGCCCCTTCTCTCTGTTTTCACTGTACTGAACTTGTGTCTCTCTCGTTAATCCCCTTGGTGTCCTTGTTATGTTGTTTTCCTTGTCAGGTTTAAAAACTAACAGTTTCAGTCCACTAGTCCTTATAATGATAACATATAGCAAAACCTTTAAAAATGGCAAATTTCTACTAGTCCTTAGGCATGTTAGGATACCTTTACTATTGGGCAGTTTGGCAAGGACTACAGGACTAGTGCTAATTTTTAACCCTGCTTGTACATTGATCCAACCTTGTGTGAACATGTCAGCATTCACCAGATGAAGGGAAAAGAAGTTTGTTTGTTTGTTGTTTAATGCTGCACTCAGCAACATTCCAGCTATATGACGGCAGTCTGTAAGTTATCGAGTCAATCCAGACAATCGAGTAATTGACATTATGAACATCGATCCCCCAATTGGGATACAATGACATGCATCAACCAAGTCAGCAAGCCTGACCACCCGATCTCGTTAGTAACCTCTTACGACATGCAGAGTCACCTTTTACGGCAAGAATTGGTTGCTGAAGACCTATTGTAACCTGGATCTTCACAGGTCGGGAAAGAAATAGCCCTGACATGTTGTTACAAACAGGAAAGACGTTGTCGTCCATAAACATTTCATGTCTTCATGTCTATCATTGCTGTCAATAGTTTAGTGTAGGACTCTGGGATTGTTCATAACTATTGATGTTTCAACTTGCTGTTCGGCCATGGGGGCGGTCGGGTAGCCTAGTGGTTAAAGCGATCGCTCGTCACGCCAAAGACCCGGGTTCGATTCCCGACATGGGTACAATGTGTGAAGCCCATTTCTGGTGACCCCCGCTGTGATATGGCTGGAATATTGCTAAAAACGGCGTAAAATCAAACTCACTCACACTCACTGTTCGGCCATGGACATATCGACAGTGCATCAATAATTTGATCAGTTGTTACTCTATGCCCTAACAGATATGAAGATGCAAGAGAGAATGAGTAAGATTTCTGTTGTAAGATCCTTGTAGTAATATATTCTCAGGGTTTGAAGGTAACCATTGACTTGTCCTTGCATGTGTTTGTGATGGGTTCAAGGTGGGGCAGGATAAGCTCACCTTTTCTTGAACACCTTGTATCATCATATTTGATAGTGATTCATGAACACATGATGGTATAGTCAGAATCGTACAATGGACTTAGAAGACTGCCTCCGTGGTCTAGTGGAAGAGTGTCCGCCCGGAGAGCGGAAGGTCTGGGGTTCGATCCCCAGCTGCGTCATACCAAAAGACGTTAAAAGATGTAAACTTGTTGTTACCCTGTCTGGCGCTCGGAATTAAGGGGCTAAAACAAGGACTGGTCGGCTCGGAGTCAGTATACTGTGTCTGAGTGAGGTATTCATGTTACACTGCGGCATGGTATCTCAGTGTGCTACATCACGTTTGATTATAGAAATGATTTTTGTTGCCATTATTTGTATCACAGTGCAACTGGCACGGTTATAATTGTAATGAAATGGTTAAAATATGGCACACCTCAGTTCCAAAAGCTCATCTAAACATCCTTATGAGTGCCCCGTGGCACACCTGAAAAAAACTAATCTCTATCCCTGAATCTGAATCTCGGATAAATCTTGACATGTTACATTAGGCTGGTGACAGAGTAGTAAATCATCCCTAATTTAGAAACTGCTTACGTGACTTCGTTAGCAACCGGCTCTAATCTCAAAGAAGCAGCCAACGATTAGGCAATAAAACCGCAACAGGGACTACTGCAGCACTTATGACGGCGAGATTAATAAGTTTATTTTATACATTCAGGGTAATTGGTTTATTCCTATGGGAGACTCCTGCCTTAGCGACCAGAGTCCACAGAAAACAGCGGCAGATCAATACCCATATAAACGTTCAATAACACGACATGCATGATCCTCATACCCGAACATAGGAATTGTGGCGAGGTATGCTGTACATGATCACTGAATATTAGAAAGCGGATTACCTCTGTCAAGGACCTGTTTGTGAATAGTTTTGGTGAATGTGGTCTGCATGTACTCTTTGTGTAGACTCTTTGTGTAGACTCTTTGTGTAGACTCTTTGTGTATGCCTGTTCAACATTTGGGATCGGAACCAAGGTGTCTATGGAATAGGATTTGTGGTGTCGTGATATTTTGATTGGGTAAAAATATTCATGTGCTGTGTAAATTTTCAGATTGATACTGGATTATAAGTTGTATGGACACAGGATTATGTCTCTGTCAAATGGATACTGTATAATGAGTTGTACTGACACTGAGATTATGTCTGTTCGTATCGGAAGGCTTGATTTGTTGCTGTAATCTCATCATCATCAGCAGCAGCAGCAGCAGCAGCAGCATCATAATTATGGCCATTTATATTGTGCTACTTTTCAACACCACCTCATAGGGCAATGGTCAAAGCACTACATTATTTTTACCCCTGTGTTCACACAATTTTCATTTTCAACTTCCTGGGCAGTATAGTCTCCGATTAGTGAGAATTTCTTGTAACTGAGTGCTGGAATTATAGATAATGGTGTCAGTGGGTCCATGGGTCTTTGAGGTTTTATGATGTATGTAGTTTATGAATCAAGGGACCCAAGAATCTTTTATTTAAACATTAGGTTTAAGACAAGAATCTGGATATCTGATGGGGAAGCAAGTACTCAAACTGTTTGAGTACTCGAGTTCAGATGGACTCTGTTCCACAAAGCAATTGTTGAGTTATAACTGTTGTAAGTATGTGTTAAAGTATAGGAGTTACGATCATCTTAGTGCCATGACTGTCAGAAGTCTATGTTAAACTATTGGAGTTACGATCATCTTAGTGATCTGATTGCTTTGTGGAACAGGGCCCAGGTGAATTATGATCATCTTAGTGCTACAACTGTCGGAAGTCTATGTTAAACTATGGGAGTTACGATCATCTTAGTGATCTGATTGCTTTGTGGAACAGGGCCCAGGTGAATTATGATCATCTTAGTGCTACGACTGTCGGAAGTCAGTAGATGGGACCTGATTGGTTGGTATAATATCTGTTCCTATGTCTGTGTCAGTAGGCGAGACTTGATTGGTTGTTATATTATCTGTTGCTATGTGTGTGCCAGTAGATGGGACCTGATTGGTTAGTGTAATATCTGTTACTATGTCTGTGTCAGTAGATGAGACATGATTGGTTGGTGTAATATCTGTTACTATGTCTGTGTCAGTAGATGAGACATGATTGGTTGGTGTAATATCTGTTACTATGTCTGTGTCAATAGATGAGACTTGATTGGTTGGCATAATATCTGTTGCTATGTGTGTGCCAGTCCCATCTATGTGTGTGCCAGTAGATGGGACCTGATTGGTTAGTGTAATATCTGTTACTATGTCTGTGTCAGTAGATGAGACCTGATTGGTTGGTGTAATATCTGTTACTATGTCTGTGTCAGTAGATGAGACCTGATTGGTTGGTATAATATCTGTTGCTATGTGTGTGTCATTAGATGGGACCTGATTGGTTGGTATAATATCTGTTGCTATGTCTGTGTCAATAGATGGGACCTGATTGGTTGGTATAATATCTGTTGCTAAGTCTGTGTCAGTAGATGAGACCTGATTGGTTGGTATAATATCTCTTGCTATGTGTGTGTCATTAAATGGGACCTGATTGGTTGTTATAATATCTGTTGCTATGTCTGTGTCAGTAGGCGAGACTTGATTGGTTGTTATATTATCTGTTGCTATGTGTGTGCCAGTAGATGGGACCTGATTGGTTGGTGTAATATCTGTTACTATGTCTGTGTCAATAGATGGGACTTGATTGGTTGGTGTAATTTCTGTTACTATGTCTGTGTCAGTAGATGAGACTTGATTGGTTGTTATAATATCTGTTGCTATGTCTGTGTAGAAGATGAGACTTGATTGGTTGGTATAATATCTGTTACTATGTCTGTGTCAATAGATGGGACTTGATTGTTTGGTGTAATTTCTGTTACTATGTCTGTGTCAGTAGATGAGACTTGATTGGTTGTTATAATATCTGTTGCTATTTCTGTGCAAATGATGAGACTTGATTGGTTGGTATAATGTCTGTTGCTATGTCTGTGTAGAAGATGAGACTTGATTGGTTGGTATAATGTCTGTTGCTATGTCTGTGTAGAAGATGAGACTTGATTGGTTGGTAAATGTCTGTTGCTCTGTCTGGGGCAGTTGATGAAACTTGATTGGTTGGTATTATATCTGTTGCTATGTCTGTGTCAGTAGGCGAGACCTAATTGGTTGGTATAATGTCCGGGAGACGAGTTAGTCGCCAAGGAAACCGGAGATTATCTGTTCACTCGACCTCACGTAAGTCATGTTTCAAAATGATGTTTTTTTGAAAAATGTCATAGTATCTTTCCTTTGTTTTGTTTTTACCAAGTCTGCTTTGAAATAACCCAAAACTTACTCTTGTTTCCTTTGGTTACAGATCGCCTGAGTAAGAGAGATGGGAAAAGGAGAGATACTCCGGAGAAGTCGGCAACACCTTCACAGGAGGAGAACAGTGAGAACCGACCACCATCACGCAACGTCATCTGGAATGAGGAGATCGAGAAACTACAGATCAAGGATGATGATCTGCAGAAGGTGGGTCAAACTGTCAGGATGTCGGGAAAGAGGGAAGGGGATTGATGGTCAGTTGGGGTGAGGGTGTCAGGATGTTGGGAAGGGTGCTGGTGGTCAGTTGGGGTAAGGGTGTCAGGATGTTGGGAAGGAGGGAAGGGGGCTGGTGGTCAGTTGGGGTAAGGGTGTCAGGATGTTGGGAAGGAGGGAAGGGGACTGGTGGTCAGTTGGGGTAAGGGTGTCAGGATGTTGGGAAGAAGGGAAGGGGATTGGTGGTCAGTTGGGGTAAGGGTGTCAGGATGTTGGGAAGAAGGGAAGGGGATTGGTAGTCAGTTGGGGTAAGGATGTCGGGAAGGAGGGAAGGGGACTGGTGGTCAGTTGGGGTAAGGGTGTCAGGATGTTGGGAAGAAGGGAAGGGTGCTGGTGGTCAGTTGGGGTAAGGGTGTCAGGATGTCAAGAAGGAGGGAAGGGAATTGGTGGTCAGTTGGGGTAAGGGTGTCAGGATGTCAAGAAGGAGGGAAGGGAATTGGTGGTCAGTTGGGGTAAGGGTGTCAGGATGTTGGGAAGAAGGGAAGGGGATTGGTGGTCAGTTGGGGTAAGGGTGCCAGGATGGAGGGAAGGAGGGAAGGGGACTGGTGGTCAGTTGGGGTAAGGGTGTCAGGATGTCGGGAAGGAGGGAAGGGGACTGGTGGTCAGTTGGGGTAAGGGTGTCAGGATGTTGGGAAGAAGGGAAGGGGATTGGTGGTCAGTTGGGGTAAGGGTGTCAGGATGGAGGGAAGGAGGGAAGGGGACTGGTGGTCAGTTGGGGTAAGGGTGTCAGGATGTCGGGAAGAAGGGAAGGGGATTGGTAGTCAGTTGGGGTAAGGGTGTCAGGATGGAGGGAAGGAGGGAAGGGGACTGGTGGTCAGTTGGGGTAAGGGTGTCAGGATGTCGGGAAGGAGGGAAGGGGACTGGTGGTCAGTTGGGGTAAGGGTGTCAGGATGTTGGGAAGAAGGGAAGGGTGCTGGTGGTCAGTTGGGGTAAGGGTGTCAGGATGTTGGGAAGGAGGGAAGGGAATTGGTGGTCAGTTGGGGTATGGTGCCAGGATGTCGGGAAGGAGGGAAGGGAATTGGTGGTCAGTTGGGGTAAGGGTGCCAGGATGTCGGGAAGGAGGGAAGGGAATTGGTGGTCAGTTGGGGTAAGGGTGTCAAGATGTTGGGAAGGAGGGAAGGGGATTGGTGGTCAGTTGGGGTAAGGGTGTCAGGATGTTGGGAAGGAGGGAAGGGAATTGGTGGTCAGTTGGGGTAAGGGTGTCAGGATGTCGGGAAGGAGGGAAGGGGACTGGTGGTCAGTTGGGGTAGGGTGGCATAATGTTGGGAAAGGGGGTAAAGGGATGGGTGGGTCATTAAGATAAGAGGTATCTGATGGTCAGTCAGGTGGCTCAAAGGTATCTTTGGGTCATGTAGTGAGGGTTATGGGGTTGTGTGTCATTTAAGGGTAAACAGGGACGGTAATTTGCTAACATACCAATGAAATCTGTGCTGCATTGTTCAGACTGTTGCAAGCTGAATGTTGTGAATGTTTCACTGAGAATTCACCTCCATCATTTTCAACTCAAATCAAAATAAAAATTGGCCGATTCAAAACCGAAAAATTGTTTGCTGAGTGCAAAATCAACACCAACTGAAGCACCCCACTGTCAGAGAGTCAACTTTGGTGAAAAACTATAAAGCTCCATGTATTTTATCAGATCCATGAACCTCGTCCTCCAGCTGAGCGCAAGAAGACACCTGTCCCATCAACAGTTACAGTTCGAAAACTGAAGCCACCTGCTGAACTCGAGAAACCCAGGCCTAAAATGTAGGTAGAAGACCTGTCTATGTATCACCAGCATAGCTACCGACTTAAGACAACATTATTTTAGTCATTACATGCACACTCCTTGGGGACCCGTGAAGATCCGGGGTAGATTAGGTCTTCAGCAACCCATGCTTACCCTAAAGGCGACTATGCTTGTCGTAAGAGGCGACTAAAGGGATCAGGTGGTCAGGCTCGCTCACTTGGTTGATACATGTCATCGTATCCCAGTTGCGTGGATTGATGCTCATGTCAATCACTGGATTGTCTGCTCCAGACCATCTTTCCAAGGCAAGGGAGTTATCTGACTATAAAAATCCAGTTTCCACCTTGCTGAACTAGGCCTGAATTCCATGGCTTGAGCGTAGTGCCTGCAGTGACTGTTACGAGTAGTGTCCCTTTTGTGTCGCTCCTATTGACCAATCAGATTCCACGTCTCATTTCACATGCATTTGCTTCAATCAAAATAGCGTAACCCAGTCAAGACGATGTGATCGTTATTCAAGATCTTTATTGTAATAAATCAGGTCTTACCTCGCAAAGTGCATCAAATCACTTGAGCACCTGGATTAAAACATGATAAGATTTGGAAAATATTTGTCGACGTCCAGTTAATGGTGCAGATGCTCTGCAAATCCTGCAAACGACCGAAGTCAAAAGTCCAGCCAAAATATGACTCCATAATTCCAGCTTATTTCGGCAAGGGTGGAAACTGGACTTTTATAATCAGTTGTTTCGGGAAGATGTCATTCTCTTATTGCAACGCAACCACTTACTTAACCACAAACTCACTCACTCACTCACTCTCTCACTCACTCACTCACTCACTCACTCACTCACTCACTCACTCACTCACTCACCCACCCACCCACCCACACACTCACTCACTCACTCACTCACTCACTCACTCACTCACTCACTCACTCACTCATATGCATAAGGGACCTATACCCAGGATTTCCCTCAGTGCGACTGTGAAGTCATGTCAACCTTCCTGCAGAGGTGTCACGCAACCACTCCCCACACACTCACTCACTCACTATCCCCCTCACACAGTCACTCACTCTGTAACTGACATTCACTCAAGTATATGTATTCCCAGGATTTCCCTCAGTGCGACTGTGAAGTCATGTCAACCCTCCTGTTGTGGTGTCTAATCTGTAGAGACTGCATTGTGAAAAAACTTAAGTAAATCTTGTAATGAAAAATTCAATAATCTTGACAGAACTTAAATGCATGTCCGTCTAATACAAATAAGTAAACAGAGATAAGATTTAATGCTCAAAGTGCATTGCATTACACATGTTTACTTTCTTCGAATGAAAAATATATTGAATGTTTGAATAGGTTTTGTTTGTTGAGTGTCACTTGGATAAAAGATAAATATAAGAACATATTTTTTCTTGTTTTGCTTTCATTGAAACAAATACAGTACAAATTTCAAATTCATTATTTGAGAATAAATTTAGATAATCAGTCTAAGTAAACATTTTTTAAATAGTTTTATGACTCCACTGTTAAACAGATATATTGGTCCTTAGGAACGTTCCATGCAAGAGTTAGATAGCAAGCCTGACGTTTAGAAGTGGATGAACAGGTGGCTCACTTGAACGAGGTCCTGCAATTCACAGAGTTGTCTCCCTTAGAATCCCTTGTAGCAAGCTCCTTTCACTCTCGGTAACATCGCTGCCACCAGTGTGTGTGCGGCCATTACAAGAACCTTGAAATTTGCCCTCTATCCCCATATGAAGTAACATTTATACTTTTGTTTATGTCTTTGGGAATCATATTTCATTTTGAAAAGGTTAACGACTGACCATGTTTTCCAGATGAATTTACTTTGTTGTTTTAATAATCAGATTGGTTCGAGATTGCAGACAAACGGAAAATCAACCAACTTCTCCCTTACATTCTTACTATATCAATTAAAGATGATATTTTTAATTAAAAAGAAATTCAAATTGACAAACAAAGGAAGTAATTTATCAGCAGTAAGTGTATTCAGCGTCACGACAGTCGTCACTTGTTTGTTAACATAACGGTCATTCGGTTGCGAGTTCAACTCCAAGCATGTTTGGGGCCACCTATCACAGTGGGGAATTTTGACTGGTGGTGGAGCTCTCTATACTATCGCTGAGAGGAACTTGCCCTTGTAGGTTCACTCCCATTAATGATCCATGGTCTGCCAGCACTCTACCGGTGGCCCCGACTCTGGTAAAAGTCTACTGTAGGCTTTTATCTCACATCATGCTGACATATGGGGATAGAAATAAAATCATTGTTCAAGCTCCACTTACTCTCTAATAGTTGGCATTCGTAAACTTACATGTGAAATAAAAAAAGTGTTGCCTTACTGCTGTTGCCATACTCTAACACAGACCTCTGATAGTCACAGCGCTAAGATTGCTTTCATAGAGGCCAAGGCTTCCGTTCAGCAAACTGATTGCAACAGTATTGTTGAAGTAAATCCCATACTCTAACACAGACTTCTGATAGTCACAGCGCTAAGATTGCTTTCATATAATAGAGGCCAAGGCTTCCGTTCAGCAAACTGATTGCAACAGTATTGTTGAAGTAAATCCCATACTCTAACACAGACCTCTGATTGTCACAGCGCTAAGATTGCTTTCATATAATAGAGGCCAAGGCTTCCGTTCAGCAAACTGATTGCAACAGTATTGTTGAAGTAAATCCCATACTCTAACACAGACCTCTGATTGTCACAGCGCTAAGATTGCTTTCATATAATAGAGGCCAAGGCTTCCGTTCAGCAAACTGATTGCAACAGTATTGTTGAAGTAAATCCCATACTCTAACACAGACTTCTGATAGTCACAGCGCTAAGATTGCTTTCATATAATAGAGGCCAAGGCTTCCGTTCAGCAAACTGATTGCAACAGTATTGTTGAAGTAAATCCCATACTCTAACACAGACCTCTGATTGTCACAGCGCTAAGATTGCTTTCATATAACAGAGGCCAAGGCTTCCGTTCAGCAAACTGATTGCAACAGTATTGTTGAAGTAAATCCCATACTCTAACACAGACTTCTGATAGTCACAGCGCTAAGATTGCTTTCATATAATAGAGGCCAAGGCTTCCGTTCAGCAAACTGATTGCAACAGTATTGTTGAAGTAAATCCCATACTCTAACACAGACCTCTGATTGTCACAGCGCTAAGATTGCTTTCATATAATAGAGGCCAAGGCTTCCGTTCAGCAAACTGATTGCAACAGTATTGTTGAAGTAAATCCCATACTCTAACACAGACCTCTGATTGTCAAAGCGCTAAGATTTATTATTCTTAGAGAAGCCAAGGGTTCCGTTCAGCAAACTGATTGCAACAGTACTGTTGAAATAAATCCCATACTCTAACACTGACAATATTCATAGTGCAAAGATTATTTTGTTGAAAGAGGTGTCAACACTTAAATTAGCATTGTATTGTTACTGTCAAACACTGGAACTGTCCTCAGATCATCGCATAGAGAAGTATCTTATCAGAGTAAAAGGTCTGATTTTTTAGAGTTTGGACTTTCAAATTTTCACCATTGAACATGAATTTATTATAGTCGTATGAAAAATCGAGTGCGCCTTGATCCATTGAGAAATAGTGGTGCCAGCGCTATGAGCATGCATCAACGGATGGCCTGCAGCACATGACATATATATCCATTAATTATTGTTGTTGTTTCTGTTTGCAGTGTGACTGTAGCTAAGCCAGCGCCACCTGATGCTCCGGTCAAACCCATCGACTACTCAGGTGTGTAAGGTCGTTCCTGTGACAGCTACATAACTGGCATAAACATTGTCAGTGGAAGAAGTTAAGCATAAATACCAGGAGGTCAATATCCTAGTGTTATAAACCTCCCACGTGTTTGTGTCACCCCAGGAGGTGTTTTGGAACTCCCCCACAGAGTGCATTAGTTTAGGGGGCACAGGTGGCCCAGTCGTCTAAGGTGATGTAAACGTGGTATACATCTGAGACCTGCATCACTTCGGGCTTTCCTCCCACATTAAGCTGATATACCGTATTCGACGTAATAAGCGCCCCGCTCTAATAAGCGCCAAAGGCGATATTTGCTAATATATTGGCTAGTGAACAATCCCAATTAGCACCCCTTCTGATTGATCAATGTACACAAGACTTATTTATTCGTGTATAATACGCACTCGTGTGTTATATCACCCTTAATTATTGGCAAATAAATTCTTGAAAATTATATCTGTCGTATGTAAACATTTCAGGCTGTTAGCATAAACCACGAAATTTACAATCTTTTAACTCAAAATAATATTCTATTAAGCAACCCCTATATTTCTAATTTTGAGAGTGCCCTGGGCGCTTATTACGTTGAATATGGTGACTGGAATACTTTTAAAAGCGGCATTAAATCCAACTCACTCACTCACTCGCATTAGTTTCAATGTAATCCCTTGTTGTCTGGTTAACAATGATTGTATGTAAACCCTCCTATGAGGGCTTACAATGATTGATTGTAAAACCACCTACAAGTGTTACAATCATTGTAAAACTTCCAATGAGGAGTTACTAATATTTCTGTATTTATGAATTTGTACTTGGTGTTTCAAACATGGGCACTTATCAGAGCAGGACGTCGAATACGGTAATCCCTGGAAGAAGCAGTTTCTCCTTCACATTGCCCTCGTGTTCACAGTTAAAGATTTAGGGGTCTACCTACTGGTGCCCGCCCCCATGGTATTCAAGGGATTCAAATACCATGGGGGCGGCACCAGTAGGGATTCCACATGCAACTAGAGCAAACTGTCTTATAGAGGACATGGAATAGATGTCCCTGTGGTACAACATTCCAATGAATTTGACAAACATCTGACATTTGTTTGTTTTTGTGTGTTTTCCGTGAAGGGTTTGCCGGACCCCGTTACAACCCTGACGGCAGTGTTATACAGCACAGCATTCTGGGAAGCTACAACGACTTCCACCGGCAAGCTGTCAAGAAGGGCGACCTCATTGTAAGTAGCTGTGTCTCCTTGATGAACATGGTCTTTCTGCTTCCAAAATCAGAGTGGAAGGTCTCTGGTTCCATCCCCTGTTTGTTGTTTAAAGGGGAAGTGTACACGCAAAAATCATTTTCTTTCTTTTTCTAAACAAAATGCAATTTTAGAATAAATTAGTATCTGTGTTTGAAAATATACACTCATTTTTTTCACAGTGAAAGTAGGAAGCTCACAATAGTGTGAAAATGATATGCCGTTATGAGGCCTTCGTTTTTCGAGCTAAACAGGCCTGAGTTATCCCCCTTAGATTATGACGTAATTGGTGCCAATTCAACTGGGTCCCTGTCTATTCTCAACGCAAAAGATATCAAGTACCAGTTTTTCGGTAAAACAACATGGCCTACGACACACTCCGGCGCAGTGGTGACTCAGCATAACACTATGCTGGCTGGCATCTGAGACGCTAGAATCACACACCTGAACCTACACCACGTGAAGCGGCTCTAACAAAGCATAATGACGTCATAATGTTTATCAATTGGCACCAATGACGTCATATTGCAAGGGGCATAAGCCATGGTGTTTTTGTTGTGGAAATAGAACACTTGGTAAATTTGAAAAATATAAATCGTTTTGATGGGAAAAATATGTTAATTAATTGTGATATTTTTATATTTTGGTCTATGACACTTCTAGGTTAACACTTTTAATGTGGAAAAAGTACAAGAAAAATAGGTTCATTTCCGTGTGAACTTGCCCTTTAACGCCGCACTCAGCAATATTCCAGCTATATGATGGCTTTCTGTAAATAATCAAGTCTGGACCAGACAATCCAGTATAAGTTGCTGATTTGCTAATCCTATACGCAGGGTTACTTCACAATATTTTAATGATACACACAAGTTTTATTTTTGTAGCGTATCTGTAATGTTGGTTGCGTATTTGATACGCTTGGATTTTATTTTACTGCGTATTTCTGCATTTCCGATGCGTATTTTACGCAGATACACAGCTTATCTGGAGCTCTGGCTTTGTTAGCCATGGCACACTCTGATTGGGAATCAGTGTCAGTATGGGTGCTAGATGACTCAGGTTCCCTCCCACTGATAGTGATATAAATAAAGTACAATTGACAGCTGTATTAGCCCAACTCACTGTGACACTACTAACGGCAGGACATCCCGAGCCCCCGCGAGCTGGACACCCAGCCCCCAGCTCCGACTCTCAAGTATGAGAAGAAGAGGAAGATGATGAAAGACAACATCCGGGCTCAGGCGGACGAGAACAACGCTCTGAAGAACTGGCAGCTGAGGATGATAGAGAGGAAGAGACAACAGGGATACATCTCAAGTGAGTTGCCCCAAGCCTGTGTCTAGTCAAGTCCCTGTCGGACCAGTCAGGTTAACCTGTTACAGTTCATACTAAACCGAAATTAACATTTGTCAGAAGTAGCTGTGGGACGATACACTGATGTATCAGTGGATCACTATGTTTTACTTCTCGATACAAGTATCGATCACAGTCGTACAAAGTGAAAAATATCGATTATGACCTTAAATGTTTGCTTTAATAACACTAAACACTCATTAGTAGTCATTGTTAGAAACTGGCGCTAGTCCTGTAGTCCTTGCCAAACTGCCCAATGGTAAAGGTATTATAAGGACTAGTAGACATTTGCCATTTTTAAGGATTTTGCTATATGTTATCATTATAAGGACTAGTGGACGAAAACTGTTAGTTTCTACACTGGTAGTGTGCCTCACTTGACACTGCCAACTGTAAATTATCAGTGTGCCAGATATTTGGCCATCCTGTCTATGAAAAAGATGGCTTACGTACCCCAGATGAGAGCACATGCAAGTATCGTGATGTGTATCAGATCACACAGTTGGTGTATCGTCCAGCCCTAGTCATAAGACAAGTAAAATTAACATATAACAGCCCATATATGCACACATGCACTGCTGGGTCTAATACTGTATGTCTGGAGTAGGCTCAGGTGTGTCCAGGGTATACATGATATATGTTCCTGTGATATATACAGTAGAACACGGATATAACGAACATGGATATAGCGAACAAACAGATACAACGAACTGTTAAAAAATCCCTGATTTATCTCCTATATAATATCATACAAAATTTACGTATATAACGAACTCTCTACAGCGAACTAACGGATACAGCGAACTGATATCTGATCACCGACAAGCCCATCTATCACTAAGTAGTGAGTGTATAGCGAACTGAGAAATCTCACTCAGTGTCAAGTGTCACTGACAAGTGGCTGTACGCAATCAGTGGCGAATCAACACAATCAGCTGTGACGGACCAACCTTGTTAAATTTGCATTGTGTTAATCTTACTTGTACATGTAATCTTGTCTGTAAAACAAACATTAAACATATGCATTTTACGAGATGTGTCCAAGTGTCAGTTCACTTGCATATGCTATCATCAATAATAAGAGGAAAGCTATCAGTTTAGACACGAAATTGAGAATTATTAATGCTGTTGATGCTGGCATAAAAACCAAGAAAGACCAAAGCTGACGAAATCGCAGTGAAATTAGGCCATGAAGATTTCACGTGTAACACTGCAATTGTGTTTTGTCTTATCCAAGATGGCAGACGTTTCCGAGCAAAATGTGTATAACGAACAACGGATATAACGAACTGATTTCTCTGGTCCCTTGTAGTTCGTTATATCCAGGTTCTACTGTATACATAACCAGTCTTTGCTTACAGAGCTGTTGCAGAAGTCTCCGGAGGACCTGGCCATGAACCAGGCAGACAACTTCCGCAGCATCCAGGAACAGAGACACATCATCGACAGGACCATCCCCACCATGGACTACGGCAAGGGGTGTAAGTCTTCCTCTTTATGGGATGCTGTAGGACCCAGGCACTTGCATGCATGCTACGCATCCTCACCTGGGACTGTTCCATGAAGCTGTTTTAGTGCTAGGACAATCTTAACTCCAGTACTTCAACACTGACTAAAACTGACATAGTGCTGAGATCAGGCGCTGAGGATAATGTAAATAATAGTAATGCTGCTGATGCTGATGCTCATGATGATGATGTAAATAATGATGTGATGATGTAAATTGTGATGTTTTGTTTGTTGGTTTGTTGTTTAATGCCGCACTCAGCATTATTCCACTTATATGACGGCGGCCTGTAAATAATCAAGTCTGGACCAGACAATCCAGTGATTGACACCATGAGCATCGATCCACACAATTGGGATACGATGAGCGAGCCTGACCTCCCGATCCTGTTAGTCGCCTCTTCAGGCAAGCATAGTCGCCTGTTATGGCAAGCATGGGTTGCTGAAGACCTATTCTACCCCGGATCTTCACGGGTCAATGATGATGATGATGATGATCTTAAGGCAAGCATAGTCGCCTGTTACGGCAAGCATGGGTTGCTGAAGACCTATTCTACCCCGGATCTTCACGGGTCAATGATGATGATGATGATGATGATGATTTTATTGCAGACCGAGTGGGGAGTGAGTACTGGAAGCAGCAGGAGAGGTTCGGGGATGAAACGGTTGGAATACAGTGAGTTCACCTGCTACACAGACTATGAATATAACTATATATACAACTGCTTTTCATCAAAGTTATCACATGCATTCATAAGAAATTAATTCTTTTCAGAGTTGTGGCCCTTGTTCCATGCTTTTCAACTTAGTGCATACCGTGTGAAATGGGGACAAGATTTCTCAGAAACTACTGAAGTTACATGAATAAAAGTTTGCTTGCTTATTTTAGAGATACTTTCAAGACTGAGTTCAAAAAATGGTCCTGTAGATTACTTTTTTACAGAGTTACGGCCCTTGATTCATATTATTTTATGTATTGCATAGTGTCTGCAATGGGGAAAAATTTCTCAGAATTTAGCTTATCAAGAGTAAGTTTTTCCAAAGAAGGGGCCTTTTGTGTGTATTAATTTTACATTGAATCATTTTTTTCTGATGACATAAAGCAGCCCAAGTGCCTATCTCTTCCTAAGGCTTTGTGGAACTCTATTATATAGTTTATATTCACTACTATATGAACAAACAAAATTCTAATGTGCCCCAATGCTCAGGATAGTGATAACACTGCTTTCTTGTAAGATTCTGGTTTGAAGTTTACAAAATCGAACCCATGTTAGTCTTAGTAATTCTTCCTGTCAGAAGTCTGCAACTTGCAAGTGTAAGAAAGAAAACAAGATAGTTGTCAGCCATTTGAATATATCTGGTAATTTTCTCACCAACATTTCAAAGTTTTCAGCAACATTCAATGTTTGACATTGGCAGTGGGTCAAAATGGGCCCTCATCATCTGGGTATGCTTAGTGCAGTGGTAGAGATTGACATGGTTCTGTTGTCTTTCAGGTTGTTTGCTTTTGAAGGCTGATTCTACTGGCATGAAATTGTCCATTGGCATTATTTGAATTGATTGTTATATACTTGTTACATGAACTATTATTAGCTGAGCATATGGGACGGAACATAATTTCACTAGCCTCGGGCTTGGAACAAGTGGCAGAAATGACTGACTGCTGTGGTATGGGAGGGACCACCTGTGTATTTTAATCTTAACATTTTGTAATGACAAGGGGCCTTTTGCTCTTATGCTTGATCAAACACTGTTAGTGTATAATAATAGAACAGTCAAGGACAGACATGTCACGCACATAAACTTGTCCCAGCTGTGTCAAACAAATTCAAAGGGTCGTCGGAGTACATATGTATATGCTGAATTACATTTCTTTCTTAGTCCTGATTTTACATTAAACTACCTTTTCTCCTTCAGTATGACCTTGACCCAGACAGAGAAAGGTTACCCAGTTCCCGTGGAGCATGTAGGACTCCCTCAGACTGTTAGGAAGGAAAAAGGTAAAGTCGTTGTTCTTTAAGAAGTCTTCAAATCTGGCAAGAAAATGCTTGTTTGCATTATCACTTTGGATCAAGAAAAATATATCTCTTGAAATGTTATGCAAGTTGTCCGACCTTGATGACATGGTCATATCTACTGGTTCATGGAAGGACAGTATGCAAATGCTACACTAGATGTGCAGAGTTGTCTCCCTTGACCACAAGGATCCGCTGGTCATGGGTAAGAATCACAGATTCACCATGTTGATCCTTGATTTGTCAGCACCATGACCATGCAGAGTTGCTTCCCTTGATAATATATAGACCACAGTTGTATAGCTATGAGTTGGGAGTCCTGTAGAGAGCAGCGTTACCCCTCCCTCCCCCCTGTGTTGCAGGCTGTCCCTGGAGCCCCAACTACACGGTCCCCGTGTTCTACCCCTGGCACAAAGCCCCCTTCTACGAGAAGCGGAAGAGGCAGCTGCAGTCCGTCATCGATGAACTCGACCCTCATCAACCCGTGAGTCCTGCCCAACTGAAGAAACACCTTGTTGTTCGCTGATTTGATACTCTGAGTTACATGTGTCACTATATTCATGAAGGGGATTTTACAAACTGAAGGATTTGAGGGCTGTACACAAACATTCAGCTTGTAAAATCCTGTACAGCCCATATGTAACAACTTTATTTAACATAGTTCACAATTTATAAAGAACGATTTTCGGGAATATGTTTGTGTGTGACAATGAGATCTATACTCAAAGGCAAAAGTTATTGTGACATGGATTTTTATATTTGTGAACTCACCCTGAACGCTCTCTGTAGACATGACTCATTTGCATATGGTAGGAGTGCTCCTTATATGGAATGTTGCTCTCTGGTGACATGACTCATTTGCATATGGTAGGAGCGCTCCTTATATGGACTGTTGCTCTCTGGTGACATGACTCATTTGCATATGGTAGGAGTGCTCCTTATATGGAATGTTGCTCTCTTGTGACATGACTCATTTGCATATGGTAGGAGTGCTCCTTATATGGAATGTTGCTCTCTGGTGACATGACTCATTTGCATATGGCAGGAGTGCTCCTTATATGGAATGTTGCTCTCTGGTGACATGACTCATTTGCATATGGTAGGAGTGCTCCTTATATGGAATGTTGTTCTTTACAATACCCTCAGACATTGTTGTTTCTATGTTATATAATTCTATACACGGCAATAGAATTGTTTGACCGATCCTCGTTGTGTTTTATGTGTCACAAGAACTTTTGCCGTTGAGTATACCTTGATGCAGTCAGTATGGTAAGTCGAGGGAGATACAAGGAAGTACAGATTATCTTTCCCGAGTGACTTCATTTTCTAAGTTCCAAGTCTTGGTGAGAATATTACCTTAGATTAAGGTATAGCATTAGTGAGTGAGTGAGTGAGTTATAGTTTTACATCGTATCGGCAATATTGCAGCTATATCGCGATGAGAATGTATAGCATCAATACAGAGAGACAGATAATGTGTAATTCCCAGTTGAGTAGGTTTTCTGTATTTTCCAAGTCTTTCCTAGTGATTTTTATCTGAGATAGCCTACATCAGCCGATTTTGGTTATGCCTACATTGTCAGACACTGGTTATACCTACATTATCACACGTAGATTATACCTACATTGTCAGATATTGGTTATACCTACATTGTCACATGCAGGTTATACCTACATTATCACACACTGGTTATACCTACATTGTCAGACACTGGTTATACCTACATTGTCAGACACTGGTTATACCTCCATTATCCCATGCAGGTTATACCTACATTGTCAGACAATGTTGTTTATACAGTTTTGTTTATACAATGTTGTTTAGACAAAATAATTAGGCAGTGGTAATGCCTGAAGCTTCTTTAAGTGTTGCCGACATCTTATAGCATTAGAAGCCATACCAGCTAGTATGTAATCAGAATCATCCATACAATCCTCAAATTTCTCTTCCAGGATTTTGACCAGCTGGAGGTGATCGGCACAAACGACCCGTTCAGGGGCAGGGCGGAGATAGAGTCGGACTCTGGGCTGACGGAGAGACTTGAGTCGGAGGACCGCTACCTGGGTCTGGGAGAGGGGGACAAGGGACCGCAGTGAGTACACCACACCCCAGTAGCCATGTTGTAGTAGTCAGTGGGGGATGGAGAGAGATGAGTCAGAGGACCGCTACCTGGGTCTGGGGGACGAGGGACAGCAGTGAGTACACCACACCCCAGTAGCCATGTTGTAGTAGTCAGTGGTGGATGGAGAGAGATGAGTCGGAGGACCGCTACCTGGGTCTGGGGGACGAGGGACAGCAGTGAGTACACCACACCCCAGTAGCCATGTTGTAGTAGTCAGTGGTGGATGGAGAGAGATGAGTCCGAGGACTGCTACCTGGGTCTGGGGGAGGGGGACGAGGGACAGCAGTGAGTACACCACACCCCAGTAGCCATGTTGTAGTAGTCAGTGGGGGATGGAGAGAGATGAGTCAGAGGACATCTACCTGGGCCTGGGGGAGGGGGACGAGGGTCAGCAGTGAGTACACCACACCCCAGTAGCCTTGTTGTAGTAGTCAGTGGGGGATGGAGAGAGATGAGTCCGAGGACTGCTACCTGGGTCTGGGGGACGAGGGACAGCAGTGAGTACACCACACCCCAGTAGCCATGTTGTAGTAGTCAGTGGGGGATGGAGAGAGATGAGTCCGAGGACTTCTACCTGGGTCTGGGGGAGGGGGACGAGGGACAGCAGTGAGTACACCATACCCCAATATTGTTTTGGTCAGTAGTCAGTGGGGGATGGAGACACTTGAGTCAGAGGACTTCTACCTGGGTCTGGGGGAGGAGGACGAGGGACAGCAGTGAGTAAACCATACCCCAATATTATTTTGGTCAGTAGTCAGTGGGGGATGCATAGTGATTTCAATAACAATTAAATTTGATCATGTTCTCCTGGTCGGTGAATGGCTGATAGTATGTCATTGTGCCCTGGTGATGTGTATTATTAGCCTTGTCCAGACTGGATGAAACAAGCTGCCATGACACCTGCCATCTATATCCATCCCCTGCTGCTGCATCCAACAAGATTCCTGTGTTGTTCTTCCAGAGACCCGCTCCAGGACCACCCTGATGTGTACCCAGAGCCGGTGTTCGGGCCGTCCCTGCAGATCGCTGGTCAGCCAGCCCGCTGGACAGGGGACAGTCACGGCTTCATCGGCCAGCCTGGCATCCAGGCCCGGATCTCGTTTGAGTCGTACACGAGCGAGCGCATCACTTCCTACCTGGAGATCATCAACGATGGAACCACATCCATCTACTACGACTGGAAGGTATGACATTTAGAGAATAACCCACGAGCTATGAGGAATTACGGAATATCTGTCACAAGTGACTTCATTTTGTAAGTTCCGCGTGTTGGGGAGACTATTTCAACATTAGTTCAAGAAGGACAGATGGTACATAATTCCCACTTGTGGGTATGTTGTTCTCTATTTTACCTACAGTCTTTTATTCTGAGAAAAGGTAGACAAATATGGATTTCCTTATCTCAAATGGAGACATCACTTTCGTTGGCTGTTGGAAACGTCACATTGTTTGAGACATCCTGAACAATTGATGGCGTCATCTTCCGTGAATTGCTGCAATGTGTTCCTATGATGTCACATTGCTAGGCACTCTCCAGTATAGTGGTAGAGCGTCGGCCTGGAGAGCGGAAGGTCGTGGGTTCAATCCCCGGCCGCGTCATACCAAAAGATGTGAAAGGATGGTACTTGTTGTTACCCTCCCTGACACTTGGCATTAAGGGGCTAAAACAAGGACTGGTTGGCTCAGAGTCAGTATACTGTGTCTGTGTGGCGTATTTATGTTAAACTGCGGCATGGCACACACATGCAAGTTAATATATAAGTACAACAATCTTGAACATGCTATAAAACCCCACTTCACCTCAGATTTCTATAGGCAAACATTGAAAACAATGGAACAATCTGCCTGAAGAAAAAAACGATGGTAAAAATATATTACTGTATAAAATTTGAACTATTCGAATGCTGCTATGTTCAAATTATATTATCTTTTATCATCATCAATATGGGTTTGTATATGGGTCCGATTGATCAATGTACACTAGACTAATTTATTTGCATATAATACACACTCGTGTGTTATATGCACCCTTAATTATGGGCAATTATCTTCTGGAAAAACATATCTGTCATACATAAACATTTCAGGCAGGCAGCATAACCATGAAATTTAACTTTCAACTTTTTTTTCCACCAAAATAATATTCTAATAAGAGCCCCCTATTTCTAATTTTGAGAGCGCCGTGGGTGCTTATTACGTCAAATACGGTATGTTTGAGAAAAGCTTGTTGCCCTGTATAAGCTTGTTGCTCTGTATAAGCTTGTTGCCCTGTATAAGCTTGTTGCTCTGTATAAGCTTGTTGCCCTGTATAAGCGTGTTGCCCTGTATAAGCTTGTGTACTGTGTTTGTTCCAGCAACTCCCCAAGGACAACCCGTTTGAGTTGGTGCAGGCCACTGTGCAGAGGTTCTACTTCAACAACAGCAGCGGTCAGTGGACACTCACATAACACCGGGTGGAGTCTAACTCAACAATCTGCCCATAGTCAGGGTCAATAATAATATTAAGGCCGCCATGACATAACTCTGATAATGATGTCCATTGCATGACATCACAGTTGCTCATATTAAAAGATCTCATTTTAGGCTAGGGTCGGAGAATGTGAGACATTATGACAAGTGTTGTCAGACTGGAAGCAGAGCCTGCTTCTGATATGAGTGTAAAAAATAATGTAAAAAATCGGAGAAATACTTTTTTCCTTCTCCCACACGTGTTTCAAATGTATAAAAACCTCTGGAAACAGTCTGGTTCATGGGTTGTTTTCTAACAATGTTACTTTTCAAATTTTGTTTTGTTTTGGTTTTTTTGCATATTGTTTGTTAGCTTGTGTAAGGAAATTTGAGACATCATTTACATGTTATTATCATAAAATGGAAACAGCTCCAAGCTAGTGTTGTCAATGATATACAAAAATATAGCCATTCACAGCATTCCAAACACTATGCATGCTATTTCACTATGCATGCTATTTCACTATGCATGCTATTTCACTATGCATGATATTTCACTATGCATGCTATTTCAGGTGTAATCCTGCCGGGAGAGACGATGAAGTTCCCGTTTGTCTTTAAATCGCCCAATGCTGGAGTCTTCACTGAACAGTGGAAATTTGAGACTCGCCCCGTCGTCTGTGGTGGCGCCGACCTCATCGTGTCCCTGAGAGGCGTGGCACTGCAGGAGGACATCTACCAGAAACAGAGACAAGAACTGGAGGTGAGAGCCTTGGTGGTGGTTCAGTCAGTCACTCAGTAAGTTTAACGACGCTTTGAACAGTATTTCAGTTTTTTAATTCATAAGTTGTGCGGGTCTCAGGCATTTACCACTTTGATGAAAAAAACACATGAGCATGGTTATGTTGCTGACAAACCTAGAAACATAATCAGAATGATCCTTGTATTCAAACCACAATCATGGTTTCCTGGCATGCCTAAGGGACACAACTCTGCAGCACTTTAGATGACTGGACCACCCAAAATATACAGAAGCTTCACCCAGTGAAAGCAAAGGGGAAGAGTTAGTCGTTAATGAGAACCCACCCGGTGCCTTATTCAATTCCTTGAGCACTTACTTCATCAAATGTTGTCATTATGTTTTCAGAAAGATCTGCAGACGAAGCAGGCTAACCAGGTGGTGACGCAGATCCTTGATGAGCTGATAGATGCCATCAGGATGCCTGACCGTCCACAGTCGCCCGTCGACGCCTACATCACGGAGGAGGAGATCTTCAGGAGACACAACCAGGGGGTAGGAGCTAGCGTACCCTTGAACTCTACAGACCTTTATATTCTTACACTTTCTCTGTAGTACCTTTGGTGTACAAATAAAAGAACACGGACTACAGATTGAGATGAAAAAGTTTGGGATTTAAAGAATATAATGTAAATCAAGCTCTTAACTGATGAATTAATATTCCATCTCATTGGGAATGAGGGGCGGTCGGGTAGCAAATGGCATTCAAAGACTTAAGGTTAAGCTGTTGAAACTGGTTACAAGGTTTCGTACCATGCTATTTGGCTGTGTCTTACTGCCTCAAAGAGGGGAACAGTCATTGTAGTTGTAGTAGTTGTGTGACCTCCTCCCTGTGTTGTAGATGCACTACAGCCACGAGACGGTGGTGGAGCTGAAGCAGATATACCTGCAGCTGTTCCCGGAGGAGGAGAGAGTCGGCAAGTTCTGGGACCTCTGTGTGCAGGACCTCAAAGATGTGAGTAAGATGGGATGACTATGTTCAGGACCTCAAACATGTGGCTCAAATCTGTGTCCTTGGTTTACAGGACCTCAAACATGTGGGTCAAATCTGTGTCCTCTGTGTGACAGACCTCAAACATGAGGGTCAAATCTGTGTCCTCTGTGTGACAGACCTCAAACATGAGGGTCAAATCTGTGTCTTCTGTATTCAGGACCTCAAACATGTGGGTCAACCTGTGACCTCAAACATGAGTACCCATTATTATTACATTCTTCAGTTGTTGCACTTGAGATGATATGTTCTGCCACTAACCAGTCTCATTAAAACCTAAAGTTTTACTTTGATATGATACCTTTCTGCATCAAGATCTGACAGCACATCCATAGACGATCACATCAGATAAACCCTGAGTAAACTGAATAAAAATAAGGATACATGGGTACTAGAGCCAATCATATGTCAGCTTTCTAAAACCATTCAGGTTCATGCCTTTTGAAACTTTCTATCTCTGCCAAAGAAACCCCAACAGAACACAAATGTACCCTCCACAGAAACCCTTTTTTGTGCAGATGCATAGTGAATATATGAATAATCCATTTCAATATATTATTAGAGAGGCATTATTTTTTCGCATTCAGATGTCCTTGAGCATATTCATTTTAAAAAAACAGCAATCCGATATGCTGGTCTGAAAGCTTTGCTAACATGAACCAAGAATTTTGCCTAAACCAGCCTCCTTTTAAGGTGTCCTTAGATCTTCATGCAGAGAGGTATCATACAAGAGTAGAAGATTATTCTGCTGCAGTGTTCTAGCCAAATGCCACTGACTTATTAAATTGGGGGGGGGGGGGGGGGGGGGGGGGGGCACAGGTGGCCCAGTCGTCTAAGGCGCCGTGATTCGCTGTGCAGAGTCGCGTCCCTTAGGCACGCCAGAAACCTATGATTGTGGGTTCGAATCCCGGTTCGCCCCGATTATGTTTCTAGGTTTGTCAGCACCATACCCGTGCTCGTGGGTTTCACCGAAGTGGTAAACGTCTGAGACCTGCATCACTTCGGGCTTTCCTCCCACATTATGCTGACACACCGTGATATAACTGGAATACTGTTAAAAGCGGTGTTAAACCCAATTCACTCACTCACTATTAAACTGGGCTTGTAACATATCTGCAAAGCTGGCCTGACTGTCTAGTTGAAAATTCTAGTCAATGTAATTTTATTTCTTTGAATCAAGTCACTTAGTGTCAAAGACTGTTGTCATTTTGTTTTCATTTCGTAGTTTATTGGAAACCCTTGGGAAGTAATAAATTGTGTTATTAGCGATGTGGTGAAAGTCTAAGAACCACCACAAACGTCAGACAACATATAGTGCCAAGCAGCTTCACCGCTGTTTTGTGTAATGGTCTCAAAACACACAAACTACTATAAAGTTAACACAGGATATGTAGGCTGTAGCCATGAAGTAGGGCTAGTAAAGTATGATGAAGACTTGGAACATTCTTTGTAAACAAGCCCTCCTGGCTAGTGAACTTTGGCAACTACCGTATTTGACGTAATAAGCGCCCAGGGCGCTTGCAAAATTAGAAATAGGGGGCTCTTATTAGAATATTATTTTGGTGAAAAAAAACAGAATTGAAAGATAAATTTAATTTCGTGGTTTATGCTGACAGCCTGAAATGTTTATATACGACAGATATATTTTCCCAGAATTTAATTGCCCATAATTAAGGGTGCATATAGCACACGAGTGCGTATTATACGCGAATAAATAAATAAGTCTTGTGTACATTGATCAATCGGCAGGGGTGCTAATTGGGATTGTTCACTGACCAATATATTAGCAAATATCGCCGTGGGCGCTTATTAGAGCGGGGCGCTTATTACGTCGAATACGGTAATTTCTAGACTGTGCCTGACATGTTTGAACCCTGTATGTCACTGGTGCTGCAGCTGGTGATGGACCTGGATGAAGATGATGAGAACAAGGAACCGTTCCTGCATCGTATTAACGAAGCTGTGGGGAAGATGTCATACACCCCCAACCACCCGATACAACAGCAGCTGTACAAGATAGGGTGAGTGACACAGGGGCTGTCAGCAGGGGAAGTCCAACCCTGTAGGAATTCCGGGTAACGATATAGGTCCCCAGCAACCTATGCTTGTTATAAGAGGCAACTAAATGGATGAAGACGCAGGCTTGCTTGCTTGGTTGATTGCATGTCATTGTAACCCAGTTGCATGGATCGATGCTCATGATGTCAATCACTGGATTGTCTGGTCCAGACTCGATTATTTACAGACTGTTGTCATATAGCTCGAATATTGCTGAGTGCGGCATTAAACAGCTAGCAACCAATACAAGCAAACCTGATGTGCATCTACAGATCTGATGTACCTCGGATAGATACAGTTGTTTAAAAATAGAGCTTGCATTTTGGGAATTGATAATTTGCATTCAGTAATCATGGTAGGGACCCAGGGAGAGGGGGAGTGCGATGAGAAAGTGACACAGCAAAAGAGTGGTGGGGTGGGGGGAAGTCGTGAAAATATATCATAATTCGGGGGGGCATAAAAATGAAGCAGTTCTATTTCTTCATATGAACAGGTTAGAAATTTGAACATTATTTACGGATGGTTAATTTAATATGGAGTGTGGGTGTGTCATACAAATGTTATATAAGATGGGTGGGTCAGCAATGATGCAGTCCTAAGATCAGTCTCACCATCCAAAATATAGACACTAAATCAGTCATATTGTTGTTATGTGTACACTTTTGGTATTATGACCCGTGATGGTCCAGGTCAAAAATAGGTCATCAGTAGGTCATGTGCTTGCCACAAGATGCGACTTTGCTTGTCGTAAGAGGCGACTAACGGGATCGGGTGGGCAGGCTCGCTGACATGGTTGATGCATGTCATTGTATCCCAATTGCGTAGATCGATTCTCATGATGTCAGTCACTGGCTTGTCTAGTCCAGACTTGATTATTTACAGTCTGTCGTCATATAGCTAGAATATTGCTGAGTGCAGCGTCAAACAACAAACAAACAAACAAAACTTTTGGTATAATCAGTCACTGTTTCAAAATTTCAAAATGGTTAAAAAAGGTTAGTGCTCACCTGCTCTTCCCTTCTGTATCAGTGTATGCAAATTATCTGCAAAGCAATTTCAGTTTGGCAGTAATATTATCTTTGTTGAGGACATATTGTCAAACGATGTTGTTAAAAGATAATATGTTACATGTGTCACCACTTATCAATCTGACATGCTTCAAGAATTACAGATGTAGATATGATTTGAATGATTCATAATCTGTGTGGAGTTGGAGGGGGAGGGGGGTATATCATGACACAGATACAGGATCTGAACATGAGACTTTGGCAGAAAGGGAGATAAAAAATAGCTACTTACCTCCCCTTGACCATATTGCATTTCTTAAATATTTATACTACTCTTTTTCTGGACACAAAATAGTCTTTCTACTCATGATATTCAGAATGATGTCTTACCTGTGAAGATCCATGTCATAAATAGGCCTTCAGCAACCCATGCTTGCCACAAGAAGCGACTATGCTTGTCGAGAGAGGCAAATAACGGGATCGGGTGGTCAGGCCCGCTGACGTTGAAGTATGTCATCGTATCCCAACTGCACAGACTGATGCTCATGATGTAAATCACTGGATTGTTTGGTCCAGACTTGATTATTTACAGACCGACGTCATATAGCTGGAATATTGTTGAGTGCTGCGTCAGACAACAAACAAACAAACAAACAAAAGTATAATGTCTTTAATTAAATGTGAGTTGTTTGTGTGCCAGGTACGAGTATCTGATCGAGGCCGTGGACGGCATTGTGGGGCAGTCCATGTTTGTCCGCCACATCCTGGGGATGCCCGAGAAAGAAATAGAGGAGTTTCCAGAAAGTGATTTAAGTAAGTTAAAGAACATCATGAATTGTGCAATATTATATCTTACATGGTTTTAAATTCAATCCTATTTGGATTGTCAATTAATCCTTCCTCTCTTTTGATCTCGGTTTCATGCCATACACATTTCTAAGTAAAACGCCGCCTTGTTGGTCAAGGCTCCACACTTTGCTGTGCAGAGTTGTGTCCCTTAGGTGTGCCAGAAGCCTATGGACATGCACTGTCTTCATCATCCTCAAACACCTTAGTCAACTGTATTTGTGATGAGGGTGCAGGCTTATAATTCTCATCCTTGTGTTTGATTCTTTATTTTTTCATTTTAATTCCGTGCATGACCTGTTTTACTTTGGCTTCTGTTTCACTCAACTTATTCTCAAACTCAGTTTTTGAATTTCAGTTAATGTTGTTGTGTATTATACACGTCACCATCTCCCCGAGGCAAGGGAGATAACTGACTATAAAAGTCCAGTTCCCACCCTTGCCGAACTATGCTGGAATTATGGAGTTATACTTGGGCTGGACTAACGAGTCTGTGCATAGTTCAATCAAAATCGCGAGACAAAATCGAACTCTGGTTCGTAAACTTCCATGCAGATTTTGATTGATTCCAGGATTTGTAAAGCATGTGTACCGACAACTTAGCATCATCAGATATTTTCTAGATCTTGTCATGTTCAAGGTGCTTATGTGATTTGATGCACTTCGCTAAGTAAGATCCGTTTTATTACAACATAGATCTTGATTATCGATCAGATCATCTTCACTGGGGGACGCCATTTCATTTGAAGCAAATGCAAGTGATACGCGAGGTGGAATCTAAATGGTCAATACGAGGGACATAGAAGAGACATAACTCATATTAGCCACTGGTGGCGCTACAATCGAAATTCCAGCCTAGTTCGACAAGGGTGGAAACTGGACTTTTACAGTTAACTCTCCTGGGAAGCGTGACATTTCACCAGATGTCACAGTCTCATGTATCTAAAGCAAAATGCAAGGCTTAAACTTATATCAAAGCCAAGCATGAGATACATACACCTACAGCCTTGTATTTTGCTACTGTATTGAACGATAAGTTGACATGTATTTGCCATATTTTTAGTATCTATACTACCACAAAAATTTCAATAATAATCTTAAAGATTTTGATAAATATTCAAAATATTTCTTTCCAATGAATATAGACCATATAAATCCCCACTCTCTTCATAAAGCAAAGGTTTATGTTCAAACTGATATTCAACAAATACATCCATTCGTGAACATGATTCTAACAAGGGCCATAACTCTGCAGGACACGACCGAGAATACTCCTGGGCATCTTGTTCCTCCACCACTGGTAGGATCACCGTGTAGAGTTATCTCCCCTTGTTCAACCCCGCCGTTTGTCATGTTAACCCTTCACATTTTCGGCACATTTTCTTATCAGAAAGTTTCTGAAAATAAGTGTGTGCACATGTTGTTTTTGCACTTGGATCCAATTTGAAACTCCCCCAGCTTGCTTCTCCTCCCTCATGAATAAACCCACTTCCTTTCTCCCCTTCCACCATCTCTTTGTACATGTGATATCTGCATGGCTCCAGTAGACAGGGACCTGCTCTTTATCTCTCCTAAGTCATTCCTGAACCGGGGTCGGTAGGTATAGAGGTATGGGATGTATACTCCCCAGGGAGTTGAGAATGATAACCGGAATTGAAACGGATCCACTGGTCAAGGAACAAATAAAACCGCAATCGAGCAGAAACTAGTACCTGGATAACTGCGGTTTTTAAATGTATAATATGATAATTTAATAATTATAATTCTCTGTACCGAGTTACATCCCAGAAACCTAGGATTGTTAGTTTGAATTCTCGAATTGCCCACATCAAGCTGGCACGATGTGAGTATAACTGGAATACTGTTCAAAGTGGCGTTAAACCCAACTCACTCACTCTACTGAATATGTCCATGATATGAGGGAATTACAGTTCAAGGCAATTTAAACACATATCCCAAAAGAAATGCAGACTTCTCCACAAATAAATGTCTAAAGCTTGAGATCATTCATGGGATTCAGAGTTGAATCCCCAGCAACCTGTGCTTGTCGTACGAGGGAACCTTATGTATCAGGTGGTCAGGCTCAGTGACTTGGTTGATTAGAGGCTGTGGACATATAGCTGGATGTTTGCAGAGTGCCGCATTAAACAACAAAGTTTCAGGCTTCACAGAACATGCAGGTATCACATGTATGTTGAGTCCCTCCCTGGCAGTGTTAGAAATTAAGGGGGTCCTCCATGCTTAGGTTTTATCCTATGGTATTTGAACCTGGGGACCGCCTACTTTTTTTTTTTTTTTTTTTTTTTTTTTTTTTTTCCCCTAATGTGTTTATTATGGTGACAACAAGGACCCCTTGAATTTCCTGCTTAGTTTTGAACACTGGTGTGACGCATATCTATGTCACACGTTTCCATTCCCTTTTTGCTTTGTGTTTATGATTTTAGTTGGTGTATAATGTTTACGTACACAGACAATCCATCATGCTATTGAAATTGAGTCCCAGAGCAACCCATGCTTGCCATAACAGGCGACTATGCTTGTCGTAAGAGGCGACTAACAGGATCGGGTGGTCAGACACGCTGACTTGGTTGATGCATGTCGGGATTGCGTGAGTAAATGGACAGTGATGACTTTATCACGTCACTGTCCTACTTCCTGGCATGGGCGCCAGATGCTCCTGTGTTGACTAACTGTGCTTTAAAAAGACTGGAACTGTGAAAATGCGGGGTAGAATAGGTCTTCAGCAACCCATGCTTGCCGTAAAAGGCGACTATGCTTGTTGTAAGAGACAACTAACGAGATCGGGTGGTCAGACTCTCTGACTTGGTTGATGCATGTCATCGTATCCCAATTGCGTGGATCGATGCTCATGATATTAATCACTGGATTGTCTGGTCCAGACTCGATTATTTACAGACCGCCGTCATATAGCTTGATATTGCTGAGTTTGGCGTTAAACAACAAACCAACCAAACAACCTAGACCTAATCTTCCATCCTTAATTCAGTCGTACCACAGCCAGATCCTGCAAAGTTAGCCGTTCCACGTAAAGGTCCAGTCAGAACGAGCAGTATAGGGGAGGAAGGTACATGGTATACATAGTTAGGGCTTGTGATAGATATATAGTTGCCTTGAATCAGTATATTACATCACTCCAATTAATAGTGTGTGATATATGTACATTTTCAAAGCTAGTGAGTTATTTAGTTGCCAATTGTGGTTTACATATTTAGTGCTTCTGATCGATATATACATTTAGTTGCTTTGTATCGGTATGTTTCATTACTTTATAGAAAGTGCTTGATATACTTCCTTAGGGCTAGTAAAAGTTATTTAGCTGCCTATTTTGGTGTACATAGTTAGGGCTTGGGATAAATATGTAGTTGCCCTGAATCAGCATATGTTATTACCACAATGGTGTTGGCAATAGTTATTTAGATGCCCATTTTTAGTGTATACTAGGTGTAGTTTAGCGTTTCAGAGATAGTATAATCTTCATTCACTCATAGTTTCAGGGTTTGTAACAGAAGTTTGTTTGCCTCATTTTGTAAAAAGAATTATAATATTTATGACTCATTGGCTTGTGTGGCCCAGTCGTTGCAACAGAGCAGAGTAGCTTCCCTTAGTTGAGCCAGAAACCTATGAAACCAAGATGACATGATTTAATTGAAATACTGTTCAAAGAGGCTTCAAACCAAACTCACTTGTTCAGAAACAGAACAGTCCAGTGAGGTGAATCTGTAGGGTGATAGGTAGAACTATAATAAGACGTTCATGGAAATGGAAATTAAAGGAGAGATTTTCAAGATCTCAGAAACAAATGAAATGAAACTTTAGTAGCAAATGTGTAGCAATTGTGGCTAGATCGAAGCTCATGATGTCAATCACTGGATTCTATGTTCCACACTCTATCATTTACAGACCGCTGTCATATAAGTGAAATATTGCCGAGTGTGGCGTTAAACAACACAACCATCAAGATCTGGGGTAGAACAGGTCTTCAGCAACCCATGCTTGCCGTAAAAGGCGACTATGCTTGTCGTAACAGGATCAGGTGGTCAGGCTCGCTGACTTGCTTGATCAATACTCATGACGTCAATCACTGGATTGTCTGGTCAAGACCCGATTATATAGCTGGAATATTGCCGATTGTGGTGTTAAACAACAAACAACAAGTTAAACAACAAACAAAACCAATTGTGGCAGTACTCAGCTTTGATGTTTGTAACCATGACAATGATCAAATCAAGTGACAGACTTAAAGACACTTGTACCAGCCACAGTTTCCTTGCTTGGTGCCTAAAGGTTTCACTACATCAAACGGGGGCACGGGTGGCCCAGTCGTCTAAGGCGCCGCGATTCGCTGTGCAGAGTTGCGTCCCTTGGGCACGCCAGAAACCTATGATTGTGGGTTCGAATCCCGGTTCGCCCGATTATGTTTCTAGGTTTGTCAGCACCACACTCGTGCTTGTGGGTTTCACCGAAGTGGTAAACGTCTGAGACCTGCATCACTTGGGGCTTTCCTCCCACATTAAGCTGACACGCCGTGATATAACTGGAATACTGTTAAAAGCGGCGTTCAACCCAACTCACTCACTCACTGCATCAAACCTTCAACCCAACAGTCCTTGGGGAGCAGCAGAGGCTGGACTCTATTGTCAGTAGAAAAATAAGAACAGAAAATAAATGGGCATTTTATGTGTGCATCTATTTTACAGGCACGACAGAGTGTCGTATGTTGTGAAGTAAACAAGGTGATCGATAGGAGCCTGGTATCTGCTGTGACACCTGACACCTCTCTTGTTTGTCAGATTGTCAAGTCAAATGGCAGATAACTGCATTATCAGATTTGCTAGTTATAAGCAATGTGATTTCACAATTTCAGCAATCTCATTAATGTCAGATCTTAGTTTTCACTACCGCTACACAATGATCTGAGGACATCCCATTACGTTTATAATAATAATGATAATAATAATAATAATGTGCATATTGATGATGCACCAATGCTCAAAGCACTACATTTTTACCCAGGTGAACGGATCACTGTGCGCTCAATTTTCATTCTCGGCTCCCTGGGGATTATACAACCCATGCCACTGCCACTGAGGGGCTAGAAGGTTACCCATTTACTGATAAGGCTGGAGAATTGCTGAAAGAGGCATGATAACAAATCATTTACAAACAAACTTAGTACTGGTATACAAGTAATGCTGAGTGCGGCATTACAACAAACAAGTAATATACAAACAAGTAATATACAAACAAATAGTGATACATGTAGTATACAAGTATAGTTCAGGCGATGCTGGTCGTTGGAGGCCACGTAATCAGGTTTGTCTGGTCAAGACTCCATTATTTATAGACCCTCATGATATAGCTGGAATATTGCTGAGTGCGGCATAAATAACAAACACTGTCTCAAGATGTAACAGTTTTCAATTACATGTAGTTTGAATACATGTATTTATGCAGTTGCTCGAACTCAAGCCAAACCAGAAGTTAAAGAGAGTAAGTTAGCTCACATCTGATTGGCTCGATGTGTTTGCTATTATGTAAAAGATCATGTCATTGGCTGAGTGTGATGTTACATTCATAATAATGTGTGTATTTACATAAAAAATAATAACTTAAAACAACTGCTTTTTTTATTTAATCATTAACATGCAAAAGACTTCAGACAATAAGAAATCAGCAACATCGTTCAACGCCATTATGCAACACAAGCCCCTCTGTTATCAACCAATCAAGAAAGGGTATTCCGTTTGTGGGCGTGGCCTAATTTTCTTCTGGTTTATGGAAACAAATGCAAAAAAGAATTGCTTGGTCAGCCAATCAAATGCCATGGAATCACTTGCAATTTATTTATATCATGATATACCTTATTACAATGATTGTACTCGTGTAAGCAGCCTGTGTTTGACAGGTGTTATAATTGTGCTTACATAACAGTTACAGTACAATGTATGCGGTGATAATTACTAATTACAAATTCTGAAATAACATTTGTGAAGTGAGGCGACTTAATGGATTGAGTGGTCAGGCTCAGGTTGATAGCGTGCCATCATATCCTGATGGCTAGATTGTTGCTCATAATATCAATCACTTGTTTGTCAGACTCGATTATTTACAGGCCTTTCTGTCATATCTGTTAAAACAACATTCACTCATTTACTTCATGGTGACAACATTTAAACCAATCTCATTAAAATCAGATCTCAGTTCTTGCTACTGCTAAACAAAGATCTGAGGACATCCCATTACGGGTCACATCAGGACCTTGCGACCTTGACCGACTAATGGAATGACCAATCAGAAGGCAGCTTTCTCGTGCTTTATAGCAAAAATTTCAAATTGGCGACTACGCTTCGAAACATATTTTGACAAATTCTCGATTACAAATTTGAAACCTGAACAAAAGAACATTCTGGAATGGCTAATAGATGGTCTAGATTGTATGGATTCAGTCGTTAAACCCGTAACTATCTTTCGGAGTTAAAGTTTTTGAGGCTGCATGATCAGAAATCACATTCCGACTGTCACTTTCATAATCTGGTAAGCGATGCTCTGATTGGTCGGATGAAAGGTCGTTCTGACGTGACGTAATGGGATGTCCTCAGAACTTTGTTTTAGCGGTAGCAAGAACTGAGGTCTGATTTTAATGAGATTGCATTTAAACTAATTCCACATAAGTCTATTTAGTCCGTCCAAAACTACAAAAGAACGACCTGTTAGTTAGTTCATGGTAAACTAATCAAACAGAATTTTGATTGCTACAGAAACACTTTGTTCAGACACGCAAAATATCTCAGCACTCATTTGAAAATGGCTGCCATCAATTAGAAGAAATTATTTTAAATTTTGTCATTTTTTTTTCTTTCAGAAATTAGTATTTGGTGTGAATCATCAGCTAGAGATGCTAAGTGACTTTATGTTTCAATCTAATTTGTTTATTTCTTGGTTGAATTTTGAGCAGTAATATTCAAATATTTTAATTTCATTCAGTTGGTATTTGTTTCATTTTGTCAGATGACATGAATACTTTGTGTACTGCCCTCATTTTAAATTTATAATTTATATGGGTTATTATATTTAATTTATTTGGTTTGAATGTTTTTATCAAGTCATAAATGATACAACATCTGCAGTATTTAGAACTTTGAATTACATTGGCCACAATTCTGTTTATTGATTTTGTTGATTTATGTTTTATATACAGGTATTTAGTATACTAATTAACTTTATAAAAAAAAATGTTAAATTAATCGTAATCATTATATTGTTTTTGTTTCATTTGTATGGGAAAGAAGGCATTTTTGTTGAACTATATTTATATAAAAAAAATTCTTTCACAGTATTTTATTTTCATTCAAATGGAGACTGATTTAGGTGAAGTCTGTGTCAGTTTTTATGGATAATGTGAATTTGATAACCGAGAATGTTCACAAGTACCGGTAGTGTCCCCAGCTCCAGCCAGTGGCAGGTGTGCAGATACGACTGTGGTAAAACACTCAAGCTTAGGGGGGCTCTAGAAGGAGTGGGATCGGGGAACAAAATATATTTTAATTTCTGAAAGGATTTGAGGAGATACTTAGACAGATATCTAAAGGATTATTTGACTGTCATGAGTGTTCATTCCTTATTTTAATGTGTTCACATTTCTTTTTTAAATTTATTTAATTTTAATTTTAATTTTATGGAGACATCGTATACCCATGTAGACCATCCTATGTCAGGTTCTTGAAAAGATATGAGCCTCAGGACTGCATATTTGATTTTGCAATTTCATTCTCTCATATCTCGGTTTCAATAACTCTTTTGTAGTAGGTAGATTATGATAGTCATAAGTCTGAATTGATATTCTTAATGGTGAAATCATTCTTGTTCCACTTCGCAAGATTCTAGTTTATGAAATTATGTGATTCATAATTATTATGTGCATTTTCCTTACCCAAATTTTGCTTGTCTAATACTTTGAGTTTGTAATGCTCCAGATAGTGTGTGCAATTAACCTACACCTAACAATGTTAGCTATTCAAGCACTTTGGGTCAAGCTGTGAACCTTCTCTACTGTTGTACTGAATTTTGAATGTCCAACTGTTTTGTCCTTTGTACCCAAGTCAATTTTTTACTGTTTTTATTTTATTCTGCAGACAAAAATAACTTGGATTGAATGTAACACTGAAAGAGTCTCACAGTTGATGAATGCAAGATGTAGAGGTGTAACGATATGGTGGAATCGGGATATGATACTATTTTGATACTATTAGTGTGATACAATTCATATCCATGTACTTTTTTTGTCAATCTCATTAAAATCAGATCTTAGTTCTCACTACCGCAAAACAAAGATCTGAGGACATCCCATTACGGGTCACGTCAGACCGACCTTGCGCAAACTTTGACCGACCAATGGAATTACCAATCAGAAGGCAGCTTTCTCGTGCTTTACAGCACTATTATCAAATTGGCGACAATGCTTCGAAACATATTTTGACAAATTCTCGATTAATAATTTGAAACCTGAACAAAAGAACATTCTGGAATGGCTAATAGATGGTCTAGATCGTATGGATTCAGTCGTTAAACCCGTAACTATAGTTCGGAGCACCCCGTGTAAAAGTTTTCGAGGATGCATGATTAGAAATCACATTCCAACTGTCACTTTCATGATCTCGTAAGCGACGCTCTGATTGGTCGGATGAAAGGTCGTTATTTGTATGTACATGTAATACATCGTAATATTATTTTCATAGTTCTAGATGCTCTTCATAACATAGTGTTTTGTTGGAATGGAATTAAATGAATATTTTACAATTCTGTAATTTTTCACATTTTTAATATTTGCACGATACATTTTCATTGCTTACTATTTTATTTGGCCCTTTGAGCATGTCTTTGCCATATATTCCTGATTTTGCATGTCAATGTCAATATGGTTCTTCCTTACCATCTGATGGCACTGTAGAGTTGTCTCCCTTTGACCATGGTGTCTAACCTATTGAGCACTGTGCAGGTGACAGTCGGAGGGGAAAGACGGCAGACAAGTCAAAAGCTGATGGGAAAGATAAGAAAGGAGCACCAGGGAAAGACCCCAAGGCTGCCAAAAGCGGGAAAGAGGTAAGGAGTCTTACAAACATTACAGGAAGTACATTACATGATGGTACAATATGAGACTCACCATCTCCAGGGTATTGTCCCTTTTTCTACTCTCAGGGCTGTGGGGTGGACTAGTGGTTACACCGAATACTTGTCAGCATAAACCTACCTCACTCACTCACTCAACCATACATCCACTCACTCAATCACTCACTCACTCACCCATACACTCACTTACTCACTCACCCATACATCCACTCACTCAATCATTGATACACTCACTCACCAATCAACCCACTCATTTTTACCCAAAACACTGTCTCACCCACCCATTCACCCACTTATTCACTCACTCACTGGTGGGGCAGCCTAGTGGGTTAAGCGTTTGCTTGTCACACAGAAGACCTGGGTTCGATTCGATTCCGCACATGGGAACAATGGGTGAAGCCCATTTCTGGTGTCACCTGCCATGATATTGCTGGAATATAATTATAAGCGGTGTAAAACCATACTCACTCACTCATTTAGAACAAACACTCACTCACTCACTCACTCACATTTTGGGGTTCCCTAATCTAAGGACAAGCCTTGTTACCGACTCCCTCAATTGGTTGTTAGCGTTGTTCGCCGAAGTAGGTGAAGATAGATAGAACATTCATTCCTTATCACCTAGCATTCTATTTAACATGCCATGAGGGGTACATGAAATATCCCCGTGACAAGAAAAACAACCATTTTGACTCTAGCCTCATCAGTGTATCATCCTCCTCTAGAACGTGACAACATTGTCAAGTCCTTGTCATCCTCGATTATCTAGTGTATTATTAATAGCTCCATTCTATTTGTCAAAATACCATAGAGCCATTTGCCACCAGCTTCATTTCAGAACAGACACCCCATCTTCTTCTCTCAAATTACCAACTGCAGAATTTATGTTGCTAGTGAGCTTGAAATCAACAACCAATCAAAATGTTTATTCTGTACATCAGTTCGTCATGATCAACATTCAAAAATGCTATTTCATCCAAGCGTGCACTTGATATGTTGGCTCAAGTCAGAAGACTGTTATAAACTATTTTATGCTGCAATATTCCTAGTGTATTTTTGATGCTGTTGTCACTTGTTTTAACCATGAAACTACAGTGTAACTTGAATGATTGTTCATTCTACCAAGACACAAAATGAAGCTATGGTAGTGAATAGGTAGTCTGTCTCCCAGACCCTTGAGAATTTTTTCAAAAAGGAGTCCAACTCAAGTCCAGAATGATTTGGCAAGTCTAGATTGCCTCAGCTCTGAAATTAAGGATTGTTCTGGGCTCCATTTGGATTTTATTTTTTTTATTTTGTAGATATGTTTTTAAAGATAACATTATTTCTGGGATTACATGTCAGTCTCGAGAATGGGTACTTGCTTGATTTACAAAACTGGGGGTCAAGGGGACCCGTATGGGTCCTTACCGGAAGTATGAGGATCTTGTAAAGTAATGTGTGGTGTTGTTTACTGAACTGTAAGATTACAGGGCCTATATTTTTCTTGTCAAGAAATTGGTACAATTAATATCAGCACAATATAGCTTTTCTGTGTCTTTTCTGTACATTTGTGCATAGTGGCTGCACATTTCTGTGTTGTTTAAAACTCAGCTATAGATCGATCATACTAGAATTATGGCTGAGACGATACACCAACTGTGCGATCTGATACGTATTGCGATACCTTGCTCGCGATCCAATAATTATCATGTTACTTGCATGTGCTCTTATCTGTGGTGTTTAAGCCATCTTTTTCATAGACAGGATGTCCCAATACCTGGTACACTGTCGATCTACAGTTGGCAGTGTCAAGTATGGCACAATGTATGAAAATATTTACGTTTTCACTTTATTTAATATCATTTTCACTAGTTATAAGTGTTTGATGTAACATTTATTGAAGAATACATTTAAGGTAAGAATCAATACTTTTTACTTATTGTGTGACTGTGATCGATGCTTGTATCGAGAAGTAAATAATCTTGATCCACTGATACATCAGTGTATCGTCCTACTACTAACTACAATGGAGATGTGGTACACTGGATAACCGAGGATGACAATAGGTTTGCAACCCTAGTTCATTAAATCGCCCCTATGACAAAATAACAAGCTACTAAAATCCATTTACGTATTCCTATATTACATAAAATACATATTATAACTGTATTAATTTCAGGGAGAGAATGAAAACCTATCGGTGATTGTTTTATGCCTCTAAATGTTTTTGTTTGTACTGGTAGTCATAGTAACATTTCCATGATTTATGCAGTATGCAACCCGTCTTGTTTGGGGGATAGTCCGTAATCAGAAGCGAGACTTCTTGTTTAGTCCACGTTTTCAATTGTATTTTTTTTTAATTTTATATTATCTTTCATAAGATATTACTTTTAAAATATTTTACATTTATAGTTTTTTTATGAATGTTGTAGTTCATTTTAAATACTCAAGTTCAGAGCAAGCGAGTTAAAATTTATTTATCGGCATCATTTCAGCCATACTGAGATCAAGTTCAGATGTATTATTTTGTGTCATTGATCCTGATTAAATAGAAAGAGATTATTTATAGAAATATAAATTTTTGTAGTTTATTTATAATAATTAAGTAAAATTTATCATTTGGAATTCATAATTTTTTGAATTGGCGGAAAAGGAAACTTTCATTTCTTTGATGAGAAATTATGTATTTAACTTATATTTCTTGTAGTCTATTTTTAATTAAATTCAAAATGTTTCATTTTGACTCCGTGATCCTTCATAAGGGATTTTTCATAAACATTGTATTTTCTTTCAAATCATATTTTTTTGTTCAGATTTTCATTTGAGATATTTTTCCTTCAATCTGATTGTATAAACTCTGACAGGGTGTGATTTCCCATTGACGAGACTGCACTGGTGCAGTTTGAAATTAGCTTATGCAGATAAAGTTTATAAGCAGACTGCACGGAGTGCAGTTGATAAAATATTTCCACAAACAGACTGACAAATATCTCGCTTCAAATTTATGCCATGTACACAAGAGCTAAACATATTGCAATAAAACTATTTTCATTTTGCATGACGTTCGTGTGTACATCCTGTTTACGTACACTACCGATCGCCAATCTTTGCTATATACACGTTAAGTTTCCAGTGCTGCAGCCAGTTTATCTGCTGTGCAAGTCAGATGGTACTGCAGCCTGCACTAGATGCAGTGGAGAGAAAATACGAAATCACATCCTGTCTGTAGTATGATTTGAAGTAGAATTGGCCTAAGTGTGGAAACGTGCCATTTGGTATGACAAGTTAGGCATTAAAGATTATAATTGCTCTTACAGTGAAGTTTGTAGATTGCTTTTTGCTTCTTTTTTTGTGTATTGTGTTGCACAAAGCAGGCTTCCATCCACATTAAAAGAATATTTCACAACGTAGCAGTACGTCTTAGATTTTGTACAGAATAAGAAAATGACATACTTCTCAATGTCTCTGGTAGTACACATCAGAACGTCTTAGACGTACTTACGGCAAATGTGCCAGGTTAGTTTCAGTGCAAAAACATATTTGTGTTTATGTGTTGTTGTTTTTAAAAAATTAAAAATTTATTTGGGTTTGTTGCCAGTTGAAAGATTGAGTCCTTTTGAGAAGCTGTAAATGTTCATGCAGACAGTTTTAGAATCGTTTTTCTGAACAAAACATTTTTTTTTTTTAATTCCCCATCCACATTCAGCAGCATAGGTATCGTCTTTTGTACAATTTAGTTTTTATGTTTCGTATTCTTTTCTTCTTTTTCCTGGTGGTGGTGTGTGTGAGTAGTGGCCTTCCTTGTCGGGATGAACGAAAAATCACCACAACCAAATTTTGGTTTCTTATTACAAAGTCTGATAGGGAAATATTTTTAAGAATGAGTAACATCAGCATGGATATAAGGCCAACTTGTCGGTCAGTGGTGAGAATTTGAATTATTTTTATGTCTTTAGCCTTGCCAGCGACATGAACACACTGCCTGGGATTCTGCCCTCAAGAATCTTATTTGTAGGAGGATCAGAATGATCAAAGCTGGGTTTGGTGTGCAGAAACTTAATATGTAGGGTTTCAATCGATCACAGAAAATTGTAAAATACAATTATTGTTAAATGTCTAAGGAAGTTTCGAACAATTCTTGTTTCTGATCGAATATGATGTAAAATGTATGTCTATGTGTTTATTTTAAGTTGCGTTTACTCCACTTGACATTAATATATACTTCTCCATTTGTGATAGGGATGTTCTTATCTTCCCATGGTACACCAAACAGACTCATATGTCAAGTGTATATTTAATAGAATGACACACCTGATTATCCCTATTATAACTTGAGTAGTATACATTATTTGCTTACATACTGCTTATCAATCATTTCATTTTCTTGGCTATGGAGAGCTTTTATAGTGAAGACTACCTGCTTTTGTTTTAAATGCATTTCTGTATATATTTTGTTTAGGTTGTACTTTGCTCAAAACACAGCTTTTTTTATATTATAGGATATCCATGGTAACAAAATCACCATAATTCTTTTTTACTGATACAAAATCTCTTTTACATCAGTGTCAGAAATCCAGTATTTCGGCTGTCATTACACTATAAAATCTGTAGATTTTCAACAGAAAATCTTCACTATACATAACCAGTTGGGATACTAATAGTATCTCCCTTCCTGAACGTATGAGCTATTCAATATACGTTGGTTTTGATTCCATCTCTATCGGTGACAAGGGAGCTGGGTTGCAAGTGGTGAAGTGGTGTAAGCCTCTACAATTAACTTTGCATAGTTGAGACCCTTGGCTGTGTCGAGATCAGCCAGTCTTGGGTTTGAATCCCACATTGCCATGTTTACATGTCAGGATCAGCCAGTCTTGGGTTTGAATCCCACATTTGCCATGTTTCCGTGTCAGGATCAGCCAGTCTTGGGTTTGAATCCCACATTTGCCATGTTTACGTGTCGGGATCAGCCAGTCTTGGGTTTGAATCCCACATTTGCCATGTTTACGTGTCGGGATCAGCCAGTCTTGGGTTTGAATCCCACATTTACATGTTGGTGTCAGGATCAGCCAGTCTTGGGTTTGAATCCCACATTTTCATGTTTATGACCTGTGTTCTGTCAGCACCATATACATGCTACCACAACACTGACTGGTGTAAATTTAGGTTCTATGCCAAGATTATGATGATGTGCAATGATACAACTCTCTCACTCAAGAAAAGGTCGAATGAGAGAGTGTACGAAGTTATGTCTTAAACATCAATTATTTCATAAATGGCATTGTACTATAGTGAGTAATATCCTCATGTGTTTTCGCTTCGTAAATATCAAATATTAGGAATAACCAATATGTATTATGCTCACCGAAGGATTACATAACACAATCTGTATTCCTAATATATGATATTTACGATACGGAAACACTCAGGTAATAATCTTAATGTCTCATGCCAAGTATTTTTTGTTTGTCAGACACCCAAGCTAGATCCAAAGAAGGCACCACCAGGTCCTAAGAAACCTCCCAGTCGAGGCCCAGTAGCTACCCCGGGTCCTGTGGAGAGGGCGGCCACACCCGTCAGTACCCCATCCAGCCCCACCCCATATGCAGATCCAGTGCTGGAGCGGAAGTACAGGGAAAAACTCTACTGTCAGGTATGGTCATTGTCAGTCTCGGGAAAAAAGCATGATTTTCTTTAAACCTGGCTAGCCCCCTTTGATTTTTTTTGTTTGGATTTTCCACACCAGTATTCCAGAATCATCACGTTGAATAGAGTCGGTAGGAGTGATAGGTCGTTTTTCATGCAGAAAAAGCTACCGTATCAAGCATCCTAATGCGCGATGATAAGCTCCCCTGTCCAACTTCTAGACCATTCTGGAAGTAATATTTAGGTGTGCGAAGGCCCTCAGACTGAAAATTTACATAACCCTCTGTGTTTTCTTATGTATATTACAGACTTTTTATAGAAAACTGCAGTGTGGTAGGGTCATATAACTGCCCAGTGACTATTATTGGACAGGCTTTAGTCTCAACGACGTTTAGACGAAGTTTGTTCACTCCCCCTTGATCTCTGAAAACAAATTTAGAGCCTGTGGTAATGACATGTAGATTTCAGGGCAAGTTTGGAACTGCTTGCTGAATTATGGTGCAAATTTGGAGTGAATCGTATCCATTGTTTGACATTTGAGCTGATTAATGTGTATTGGGTGGCCATATTAGCTTCTACTGAGTCTGAAACTTGGGTCTCAGCTTTCAATGTCTGTCCTCTGATGTCTCCCAACTGCAGACACCCCATTTGGGACCAGCCTGAAATATCCCCAATACCCCATTCCTCCCATCAGAGCTGATTAGAATAGGAGCCAGACAATGTTAGCTCTGCTTGAATGTGTTACAATCTCATAAAAATCAGATCTTAGTGCTTGCTACCGATACATCAAGATCAGAGGACAGCTCACATCAGTATGACCTTTTGCAACCTTTGACCGACCAATGAAATGACTGGAAGTCAAAATTAGCCAGTCAGAAAGCAGCCTTCTCGAGCTTCATGGTGCTAGTTTCAAAATGGAGACTTCCATTCAAGACTATTCTTTCAAATATATTTAGACTTTTTCTCGTAAGCGACTCTCACATTGGCCCTATGAAAGATCATTCTGATGTGACCTGTAATAGGATATCCTCATATCTTGTGTAGCAGTAGCTAGCATTAAGTTATGATTTTAATGAGATTTAATGTGTTATTATGTCCCTTTGGAATGAATCATTGCTTATGCTATCAATGTTTGCGACCTGAGAAGATCCAGGTTGGTTGATGCATGTTATCGTATCCCAATTGTGTGGATCGATGCTCATGATGTCAATCACTGGATTGTATGGTCCAGACTCGATTATTTACAGATCGACCCATCATCATATAGCTGGAATATTGCTGATTAACAAAAATCAATGTTTGCATGTCTTAGATTGCTGACTGTTTGACAGGCAGTTATGATGAGTTGTCTCCCTTGTGTTCCAGGCCTACACAGTCATTGGTGAAGCCATTGACAGGATGGACCAGGCTTTTGCTGATATGCTGAAAAACAACACACTTGACAGACTACGACCAGTATAACACACAGCATGCACCTGTATAATATTTCGTCATTAGGCTTGAATTTCATCTATTCAGAGGATTGACTGTGAAAATGTTTTACCATCCAAATTATACTATTCTGAAGGGTATAGGTAACATGACCCCAAAAATTTAAATTAACAAGTGTAAACTGGAAAAACATCAAATATATTATATCATAAATTTTCATTTGTGCTAAAATTCAAAGGAAATAAGGATTTGCAATGCATTACGAGACTTGGAATGAAACAACGTAATGTATGCTACACAATCACTACACCCACTGGTAAAACTGAGCCTAATGTAGACAAAGAACACTGTGATAATGAAAAGTCAAGAATGTGATATTGATTATAATGTATAATTAATTTTTATACATATATGTACATGAAATAAGCTTAAAATATAAAATGAATATATTAATTTATGTTTGTGTAATTGATTTTTTTTTTCTCTGATACTCAACTAAACTTCTTTGTTTTGATATCTAAGCTTGACTATTTTATGAATGGTCCCTTTTGATTTAAGATATATTTGACCAGTTCTAAGATTTCAAGTTTTTTTGTTGATTCTGATTGAAATGTGTTAAAACATTCATTGTTTTGACTGTAAACATCTATAATCATGATAATACATTTTGATGTTTGATAATAGTTAACATACAATTATGCATGTTATGATTTTTGTTTTCAGGAAAGTATTTTTTATTGTCTGTTTGATTATGAATCTGGCAACAATTTCGCAAACTACATGTATGTTGAAAAGTAAAGCAATATTATGCCAAATTTCTGTTGTTGTTGTTGTGATGTACTATGAAAGGTAGCCTTGCTCCTAGGCTGCACTGAATGACAAGTCCATGGAGTGAGTGAGTTGGGTTTCACGCCGCTTTTAACAGTCGACCAGTCCTTGTTTTAGACCCTTAATGCCGAGCGCCAGACAGGGTAACAACAAGTACCATCCTTTAACGTCTTTTGGTATGACGCGGCCCGGGATCGAACCCCGGACCTTCCGCTCTCCGGGTGGACGCTCTACCAGTAGACCACGGAGGCGGTCCAACAAACAACAAACACTTGACTGATGAAAACAATGATTGGGAGGACACAATGTATGATGTTAATGTCATCCTACACTGGTTAGGAACAGTTTAAATGTTTGATGTCAGATACATATATATGAATTTAAATGAAAGTTTGGGGATTAGTGATGTCATTTGATTATGACTTCATTGTAACCGATGTCACAGTGGTCTGGAAAGCATTGTGAAGCAATGTCATTGCAGCAATATCTCCTGGGAAATATAGCTTGATCTTACTCGAGCGATATTTCCTGTGGATGTCATTTTTTTATGATAATAGATGTTTTCCATTCCATATTCCTGTTTTGCATGCTCATGACATGGAGCTTAAAGCATGATGCATTGTTGTTTATATTCTGTTAAATTTATGGAGACTACATTTAATTACCAGATGCCCGTTAACTTGGCAATATATCCCTGCTGTTGTAAGTTGAAAATAGCATTAATGGTACTGTATGTCAACTGTGCTGGTCTCCGATTACAAACATACATCATATGTAGCAGGTCAATATGACCCTTTGCAACCTCTCATGCAATGCAGCATGGCAGTAATTCTTCAAACTTTGGCCATTATCACAGATTACAAATAAATAAAAATACTTAGACTAAAATTTGAAGCAGAAACACAAGAACATATGTTCATGAACATGTGTACATCTTTTGTTTGTTTGTGCATGCTATCAGTTTGTTTGTTGTTTAACGCCACACTCAGCAATATGACAGCAGTCTGTGAATAATCAAGTCTGGACCAGACAATCCAGTGATTGCCATCAGGCAGTTGGGAAATGATGACTACTGATCCCATTAGTTGCCTCTTACGACAAGCACAGTCACCTCTTACGGCAAGCGTGGGTTGCTGAAGATAATTCTCACCCGGATCTTCACAGGTCACCACATCGTTCAAACAGCACCAAACATGGGGGGAGGGGAGAAAAGGCTTAAATTATTTTGATAAGCTGTCAGGAGGATCAAACAAATTTCATATAGGATTACCATACTGTAACACACACTGAACAAACAAATCTGTAATCCTATTAATCCTAGAGATAAGGCTAATTTCTCCACTGAATGAACTGTTCCATTATAGCTGTGGGTACTGCCCTAATTAACCTTCAACTCCACTGTCTAACAACTGGCTGTCTCACAAATGGGAATAACCTCTATTCTAACCAGTTTGGTATATATCTGAAACTGATAATCTTTCAGATCTGAATTGTATATTATTTATTCTTGGCCTAGCAAAGGTATACTACTAAATCACTTGTTTTCTATTACTGAATGCAATGTACAATCCCAGTTGAATTTCAATCATTTATAAACACTATCAGACTTCCATATGGAATTGATTAATACATAAGTGGTGAAGAGTGAGTGAGTGAGTTGGGTTTAACGCCGCTTTTAACAGTATTCCAGTTATATCACAGCGTGTCAGCTTAATGCGGGAGGAAAGCCCGAAGTGATGCAAGTCTTAGGTGTTTACCACTTCAGTGAAACCCACGAGCACGGGTATGGTGCTGACAACATAAATTGTTGAGAACCGGGATTCGAACCCACAATCATAGGTTTCTGGCGTGCCCAAGGAATGCAACTCTGCACAGCGAATCGCGGCGCCTTAGACGACTGGGCCACCCGTGCCCCCATAAGTGGTGAAGATATACTCTGTAAAGATTAACAGGCTGCAGTGTCAGCCTTATTGATTTCTGTATATGTTTGTTCTATGACCTGTAATTAAGTTCTGTACACATACTTGGGTTATCACTGGTTTTAACCCATGGGGACTCTGGGTAAGAAACAGTCCCCAGCAACCTATTCTGGCCATAACTTGATGTGACTTAATGGATTAATTGGTCAGGCTTGATGACTTTGTCGATGGTTCACCCTGCGACGTCATGGATCATTGCTCATAATATCAATCACTGGTTATTGGCTCGTCACGCCAACCCAGTATCCATTCCCCACATGGGTACAATGTGTAAACCCATTTCCTGGTGTCCCCTGCCGTGATATTGCTGGAATATTGCTAAAAGCGGCGTAAAACCATACTCACTCACTCACTCACTCACTCACTCACTCACTCACTCACTAGACTGTTCTATACTTTAACAGGTCGCCCTTCAAAAATTTGAATATTGCGAGTGCTGCCATATGCAACAAGTGTAACAAGCGACAAATCATTCATTATTTTCTTTGTCTAAGATGCTGCAATTCACAGTGCAGAGTTGTGTCCCTTAGGTATGCAAGGAACCTGTGATAAGCATTCGAATCCTGGTTAACGTGATATTTTTCTTGGTTTGTGGGCACAATACTCATACAGGTTGGTTTCACCAGAACTGTAAATGCCCAAGATCTGCCTCACCTAAGGCATGTGTCGTCCGCTTATATCAATATTCGAGGAATCGAACCTGGGACTTCCGCATGAAGAGCAAACGCTTTAACCACTTGGCTACCCCACCGCCCCATCACGTAAAGTAAAGAACAGCTGACTATGATATGGCGTCTTTTATAAGAGGACATTCATTAAATGATGTTTCGATGTACATTTACCATCTAATGTTTAGGTTTCAAATGTGTTAGAACGGCTACGTAACATAAGACGGCTTCTCTAAACAGTGCCGTGTTGCTATAATTCGTACACCTCACCTCTGTAGCGCTGAATGAATGAAGCAGAGCTCTAAGGACAACTGTGTTAGGGAGGGAAGCTTGCCAGTACTTCAGTTGCATGGTAAATAGATTCAGGCAAAAACACACCATCCCCGACCTCTTGCAAGATGCCGCAACACGGCAACATCGCAGCCATGCTGTGTGAAAAGTGAATACCCAAACTGTGAACGCCTATTAGCGCCCACTTTCGCCCCTTTACCTTACATAAGATAACCGTTTCATTTTTGTGTTTTTGTTTATTGTTTAACGCCGGACCCCTGCAGAAATATTCAGCTATATGAAATAGTAGAGTCTGGACAAGGCAATTCAGTGATTGATGTTATGCGTCACGGCCGGTACGAGTGAGTGAGTGAGTTAAAATTTAACGTCACATCGGCAATATTGCAGCCATATCGTGACGAGATAAAGTCAAACATTTGATTACAAAGAAATTTCAATTTGTAAAATACCTGTCGCCAAAGGACAGTACAACGGCTGGTACGATAACACCATGACACGCAATCAACGACGTCCCCGATCCTGACCACCCGATCCATTTGGTCACCTTTTACGACCAGCATTGGCCAGTTGCTGGGGACCTATTCTACCCCGGAATCCACACGAGGTAGGTACTGGGGTATTATTTTGTGTCAATGTTATGGTATACGTAGCCAGCAGCACAGGAACACGTTATTGGTCAGTCAGTAAATAAAATTATATACCCCCTTTATGTAAGTAGAGACTTACATGCATATAAGAGGTATATATTTTTATTTACTGACCAATAACGAGTTCCTGTGGCCAGCAGCTATAAATATATTTCATATCGTGTTTACATTCGTCCCTTTGATTGTGGGTTCAAATCCCAGAATCGTCCTAATAAAATTCTTCCCCAAAAAGGTATTCCCAGCACTACAATTCCCTGCTCATGGGTTTCACCAAAGCAAATCGATAAACGTCTAAGAAGGGTGTATCCAACATTTTTAAAGGGCCAAATCTCAAAATGTAAGACCCCATCACTGTCTGCTTTCCTCCAACATCTAGCTGACACGCCGTTATACTTATAACTGAAATACTGTTCAAAGCCAGCTCACTCATATAAACTGTCAGGCAAAAGAAAACATATATTTGAAAATTGGATTTGACCATATAATTACAAAAGTATTAGGTTGAAAACAGTCGCCGAACCATTGCAAACTTCATGTCCAAAAAAACAACTGTGATACCGCATCAATTACATCACAATTTCTGGTTTGTTTCAACGTGGGTATATGCTTTCTTTTGCTGGGCAGTTTATATTGGGTAACCAGTATATATACACAAATATAGCCGTTTACTCACGTTTTCAAGATAGGCTTCAGCAGTTCCGACCAATGACTATCAGTGCCTTTACGAAATAATGTTATACACTACAGAAATGTCTTGAAAATTCAGGTGAATTTAATGTCCATGAATTGAGTGAGTGAGTGAGTATGGTTTTACGCCGCTTTTAGCAATATTCCAGCAATATCACGGCGGGGGACACCAGAAATGGGCTTCACACATTGTACCTAGTCCATGAATTGAATTTTCGAGATACGTTTAACTTCTTTATGAATGTTTTCAACAAATTTTCATTTAAATATCTCTACTATTACATTTAAAGAAACCATGGATAAAAAAATGAAAGATAGATCTATGCGTATTGTTGAATCCGATGTAAGTGTCCGTATGTAACAGCTATGTGTGGATAACGCGTCGGCAAACACTAAAATACGATTCTGTGCCAATTCCGTCGACTTTCAAATATTGTAAATATACTTTCAGATATTTGTGGATATGTTTTAATATTTTAGAATGATAAATACTGTAAGTGGAGTAATTAACGTAACTCACTGACATCGCCCACTTCTCAATCCACTGTCACGATCTCCACTGCACCAACGGCGACCAATATATTTACGTCATCAGCGCTGTCAAATATACGCTTAGTGGATGTCATTTCTGTCAGTTGTTTACTGATTTTGTGCATGTATCTGAAAATTAGACAGATCGTGAAGGTTTTTAGTCCTGAAATATACGAGCATGTCA